GCTTGGGGAACCCCGTGCCAGGCACCGTGCTGAGCGGAGCCGTGCTAGCTGTTAAGGTGTTAAGATGGTGTCCAGCTACTCCCATAAGCACTCTTGGGTGCCCAGCACCTTTCCGGGCACTCCCAGACCCTTCCTGTAGCGCTGCAGCAGAGTGCTGTTACCAGCCAGTGCCACACTGAGTGACTAAGGGCAGGGAGGAGGGACGGAGGGCAGGAGAGAAATGGAAAGGAAGAGGGAGAAAGGGAAGAGGGAGTGGAGAACAGGAAGTTTTCTCAAATGCCTGCAGGATGTACAAGTTGGGGCTCCTGTACTAATTTTCCTTTTTAACACACAGTGAGGAACTCATATCTCAGAAAGCACAGGGCCGATGCATTTTAGCAGGGAAGAGTTGGAAAGACCTGGATTCAAATCCTGCCTCTAACAAATCAGTCTGTGTGACCTTGGAAAGTAGCTTAACCTCTGAAGGGCAGTCACATCTGCAAAATGAGAATGCTAACTGCACCTACCCCTTGGGGCTGTTTAAGTAAGATGAACTTTGTCAGGTGTTGAAAAGTGAGCCCATGGGCCTGGCTTACAGACACACACACGCGCGCGCGCACACACACACACACAATCTAGAATATGATGGGTGGTTCTAGGCCAGCACTGTTCAACAGAACTTCCTGCAATCATGGGGATGTTCTATACTCACACTGTCCAAAAAATATGACTGCTACATGTGGTTACTGAGTACTTGAAATGTGGCCACTGCACCTGAGCATCTGGATCAAGCCTTGCCTGAAGTCAGAAATGCTGGATGCCTCATTTACCAGAGGGAAAAACATAAATCAGAGTGCTGGAGATATAATTCAGTGGTAGTGCATGCCTAGCAGGCCATGTGTTCAATCCCCAGTACCTCCCCCAATCTAAATCTAAAGCCAGTTTAAGTTGAATTTCTGTCATTAGGAAAAAAATCTTAATTAAATTGAAATTGAAATTGAAACAGCCACATGTGCCTAGTGGCTGCATACACCAGAGTGACTCAGCCCTGCTCCCTGTGTGAGCGATCGACAGAGGATGTGCCTTCCTGTCCCATGCTGGCGGTAGGGGGCCCGGCCAAGGTCTAGGCCAGTGTCATTCTGCCCGACCCTCAGTTGTCAGCCCGGATTCATTTCTAGGTCACAGAAGTTTCTGGCACAAAAGGATCGGATGCTATGGGTAGGACGTCAGCCTACTCCCAAGTAGTTCTTGGTTCAAGACAAAGGATCCCTTGATGGACTCTGGCTTTCAGCTCCGCTCTGCTACCAACTTCATCCATGAGATAAATGCTGTGCAGCTCCCAATGCCTGGCCCCAGGCTGCACAGTGATCTGACCTGGACCTGGAAAAGCTCCAATACGTGGGTTTTAAATTTAGTTTTGTTAATATATAAAATAAACTTCACCTGTAAATGAGGTCTTCACCTAAAAATAAACCATCTGTTTTAAGCTGCACTGATTTCTATGCGATAAATACTATACTGAGTTTCTGTTATGATCTGTTTGTGTCCCCTCCCCCCAGATTCCTGTTGAAATCTAACCTCGATGTGATAGTGATAAGAAGCAGGGACTTTAGGGAGGTTACTGGGTCACCAGAGTGGAGTGTTCATGGTTGGGATTAGTGCTCTTGAAAGAGGCCCCAGAGAGAGAGCTGCATTGCTCCCTCCTTCACGTGAGGACACAGTGAGAAGGTGCTATGTGAGCATCAGAAAGCAGTGCTCAGCAGACCCAGACAGGCTGGTGACTTGATCTTGGAGTTCTCAGTCTTGAGATCTGTAAGAAATAGATTTCTGTTGTTCACAACAACCCAGTTATGGTATATCTTTATAGTAGCTCAAGTGGACTGAGTAAAATGTTAGCTGCTGAGCAGGTACTTTGAAGGATGCCTATGCTTGCAGGTACCTATGCTTGCCCTGTTCAATAAATATGTGCTACCTCTAAAGTTGCTCTTTATTTTAGATAAGGCAAGGAGGAGAAATTTACAAGGAGCCAACAAAAACCACGAGTCATTCTGGCCTATCATTTTTTATGTGGCCTAGACTAAACTTTGCTCATTAAAATCTAAATTTTCCACCCAAGGAGTTCTTGTGCCACATTTCTTGAGCATGCAGCGTAGGAAGAAGCATGATGTCAAACTGAGCACTCTCCAGAATGTACCCTTTTACCTGTGATGACAGGTCTTTCCTGAGTGAATAAGCATGAGTTTCCCCCAATTAAACCTCCTGGCTTTGTTTGCTCAGGGAACATTTTGTTACAAATGCAATTACAAATATACCACCTACTTTTTCCTTATTTCTTTTGTTGTATAGGAAAACTTGATCATAAGGTACCATAATTTGTTGTGGATTAGGTTTTATTGCAGACTAAAATTACCTTCCTCTAAACATGGATGTATATTCAACACTGACTAATGTTATCTTACCAGAAAATCAGGGCTTCTGATTGCCTTTCGAGAAGGAAGTCTCCAACTTTGATAAAGACAAGCCAAGCTCAATTGTGTTAGCATCTCACAAGTGACTGAGCTGTATTTATTATTAGGAAGGAAAGCTCAGTAAACAAATGCAGTGCTTGTATTTAACACTTCTGATCAAGATAGAAACAATTTTAAAAAGAAGCTTAATTTAAGCATGACATTCAAAATGTACTTGTTTTGCTTCCCTGAGGCTTTGTCTAGTTTGTATAGAACCTATCTTCTGCAAAAATGCATGACATTTCTAACGTATATTGTAAAGCAAATAAGACTCCCCCCCAATGTCTACTCATTCTTTAAGGTTCAGTTCAAAGTTCCTCCAGGACAGTAATCCCAGCAGTCCCCATCCCTCAAGTCAAGGTACTATTCTCAAGGTTCCAAACACCACGTATCTATTCCTGTTATTACTTCTACACTAGTTTATAAATCTGTTTAAAAGTCCACCTTTCCAAAGAGACTTCAAGCAACATTAGATAGGGATTGCATCTGACTTACCATTGCTCTATCTCCCATTCCTCTAACAGGGGAACATATGGCTTCCTAAATTAAAAGGTGAATTATTGGGAATAGTGAGGAGCCACCGGACAGGTTTGAAGGTTCTGTTTTCACTTGCAATGGACTCTCACCCCTTCTTCCGCCCCTACAGTTTTCCAAGAGAGTCAATATGACTGAGACACAACTCTGAATGTAGGGTAAGGATGAGGCCAGAAAAGAACAGGAGGAAAAAGAGACCTGTAACCGCGAGAACGGGCCTTTCTCAGAGAGCAGAAGAAGTGGAGTAAAGCCTTGGGGTGGCTGAAGCCCGCCATGGGGGCCGGCACTGTGTGAGCGCCGTGCAGTGTTGGGTGCAGCGTTGCCCAGCCACTATGACCCTCTTCTCCCCTTCTCCTCCTCAGCCTTCTCCCTTCTCTCATTCTCTCCTTCTCTTTCCTTTCCTCTCACTGTCTTCCTTCCTCCCTCCTTCCCTCCCTCCCTCCTTTCTTTTCCTTATTTTCTTGTTGTTCCTGACCATTTTGTAATTGTTTTGGAAGTCCCCAGCTCTACTAAAAGGAGGAAAAGAAACATTCTGCTTGGCAAAGCTTTAAGAGAGATGGAACTCTCACCTCTTCTCTCCCCAGTTCTCCCCAGTTTGGAATGCCACCGAAATGCTAATAAATGGTAAGACTGTGGGAGAATACCATTACCTTCCATTGCTGAAAACATGGAGATTCTTTCTTTTGTTTTAATGTGAGTGGTGGGCTGAAGGGGGAAGGAGAACTTTTCTTCCGTGGGAACATTTTCATTGTCACCCAAACCAGCACCAGGTAATGCTTTTATTGACTCATCAATGCCCAGGACTACAAATACAGCTGCACCTTCTTTCCAACATTTGTAGCGCTTTTCTCTCTGCTCTTTTGGATTGGTTTGGCTGCCTGCGAGGAGTCAAAATGCATATCTGATATTTGACCAATCTGTTTTGTTCTCCTACTCCTTCTTGCCCTAAAGTGCCACCAAATGCTTAGCCATTAGGACAAGAGAATCGGCCGCAGCTGAGCACCTCGCCGAATGGATTCACCTCGTTGATCTTCACAGCCTAATCACTGTACACTCAGAAGCCTGGGGCTGAGGGTCCCACCCAGGGCCCTGGAGACATCTGCTGGAGACCCCGGCAGGGCAGACCTTCAGAGGTGTCTGATCTCTGCTCACTGAGAACCTAATTTCCATGCCTGTTCCTTTAGAACTATGTGTACATGTCCAGTAGGACATTGTGGTTTTTACTTTTAAAAATTCATCCAATACTAATTAGAAAATGAGAACAATTATAAAGCTTTAATAAGTCAGATTTCAAAAAAAAAGTAAGTTTATACACGAACTATGAAGGAATTTTTTTTCCCCAAGAGAAAATGGATGCGGTGTAATGACGGCCATGTTGACCCAGCTGAGGATGTGAAACTGCTCGTGTGATTAGTGCTCTCATTTGCTGTGGACAGCTTAAGGCCCCGAACAAGCTGGAGCACGTTCCTGTGCTTCTTTAACCAGTGTCTCCGTCCTTCTTGTCTGGTGTCAATAAACTTAGTTAATATTTTCATAAAATGGGCTCATTTTGTGGTTTCAGAAAGAAGCCTAATTGTTTTCCAGGAGCACGTAAATATTTTCATATAAAGGAAATACACATATGAGGAGAATTTGGTGCTCCATATTTTATAAAGTTCTTGGAAACCATTTTGATGGAACTGCATTTCTAATACCAAATGTAAAGAAAAGAGGAAATACATCTATCCAGATGGAAAACTTTCCAAGCTCAGGATTATATATCCATCCAGAGGCTCACACAATTCAATACTTTAGTAGTTAAGAGTAATTCAGACTTCAGGATTACTTTGAAAGAGGTTTTCTACTATTTGTGTACTTTTACATCCCTTTTATTGTTGCATAAACAATATTTGTAAGCAAACCCAATTTTAATAAACTTAGTAACAAATGTAAACTATAGGATTCATGAAGGTAATTAGCCCAAACAACTGGCATACTTACAGTTGCATTTCTTCTGAACAAATCTCAGCTTGCATGCTGTTCTGTAGGTGGAGAGTCGGATGCGATCCAGATCTTGAGCCCCTAGTGGGGAATGAGAGGACACATATATATGCCATGTGTGTGGAGAGGAATTTATAATGTTTATAAACAAAACAACCACAGATATAGTCAATGCACTTGTTTTTATTACTAGAATATAAATATTATTTTAAGGTTTGAAATGTTCTGTCCCATATTCCTCAGGTTCAAGGGGGAGAAGACATGTCCATCCAACACTGGAGATCACATTTCTACCACGTTCATCTGGGAATCCTGCCTCTACCCTGTCATGCCTGCCACTTTTGAGAACAATCTGCTCAGGTTGTGACTTCATCCGCTAAATGATATCAGATACTGTTATAAATAAATACACTTTTAAATGCACTGTTATTGGTCACTAGAGCATGACTGTTAAGTGACCACATACTGAATACTGGACATCTTCTCTGTGGGACCTTTGGCCAGTTGCTTCTAGAAATCTCAGTTTCGCATCTGAAGGTGGGGATGATGATACCCAATGCACTTAGGACACTGCTTGGCACACAGTAAGTGCTGTGTACATGTTCACTATTATTACTAATGTCTATTTGCAACCTCAGAAGATAAGACACCTTTCAATCTTTAATATTTCTTGTTATGGCTTTTGGTTCCTTCCTAGCACAGAGAGAATATGTTTCCCATATGCTTGAACTTCTTTCCTTATTCTACTCTTCCATTAAACAAACCAGCACTGCTCCTGATGCCCAGAACACCAGGTCTGAAAGCCCTGGCAGCATCCAAGACCCTCTGCAGGATGTTTCCCTCTTACCTGCCCGGCACGACTTCCCATGTTTATCCCACACAATCTCTGCCAGGCCTGGGCTGATCTTTTCCCCAGCCCTGCCACATGAACACTGAACTCCTGGTGCTTGTCCTACCCTCCTAAGATTGGGCTAATCTCTAGGCTGTGTCTACAAAGCCATTCTGCTTTTCTCTGCTTTCAAATATTTGGCTTTCTTCAAGCCCACATTTATGTTTCATAATAGATATAAAAGTGTGTAGTTGCACTTGACATGTATTGAACTCTGTCTACACCAGTGAAATGTGCTACATAAATTCTTCAGAACATAATAGATTAGGGAGTAAATAAACTGGCCTGGAAGCAATGATATTTGAAGGCCAATGAAATGCTTTCTTAATGAAGCTCAGGATGAAATAGTGAGTGTCCCTCCCTGAGAACATTTAGTGTTCCCTCAACTTAGACTGTTTTCTTTAGAGTCACTTAAAAATGTTGTCAATAATCCTATTATTTTGTGGTAATAATATGAAGCATATTATTAGACATTTATTCTTATGAGAGTATACTGTTTGACAAAACAGGTCCATTGATATTGGGTTCTTGAAACATAGGTGGTTCCCACCATGACTCAATACAGGTTTTCTCTTAATTTCTCAGGAGATGGACATTAGTGAATGGCCATGTAGGATCATTTCCAGTGGCAGAGAATATTATAACTTAGTGAAAATAAGTGGACTTTTATGTCAGCAATCCTTAATTTTGTCACTTCCTAGCTCTGTGAACTTCAGCAAGTTTTTACTTCGTATTTCAATTCCCTCATGCATTAAAAAAAGGAGGATAGCTATATTAACTTAACCAGCTGGTAATAAATGGATAGTCATAGCCTCTGCTCCAGGTACAAAGTGAGCAGCTAACAGTAATGGGCCTCCTTAAAAGGCTTCCTGTTCTATTTCTGAGCAACAATACATGACAAAAGTTCTTTTCTTATACTTGAGCTTTAATCTGACTCCTTATAACTTCAGCACACTTGATCTAGTTTCTCCTCTGGAGCCACATAATCTTTTCTCTCTGTTACTTGGTAATTTGTTTCTTAAATATTTGGTAGCTGCTATTGTTATCATTGTTAGCATCTTCACTGTCATCTGAAAATTATGGACAAAAGTCTTTGTCACCTTGGAATTTAAAGTTTAGCTGGGAAAGTAGCTTTTCCTTGATTCTTTAAGGTTAAAGACATTCAACTCAGGCCGGGGATTTAGCTCAGTGTTTTCACCACCTGCTGCACAAGCGCAAGGACCTACCACCTTCTGTCTTCCTCTAATTTCCAATTTCATTCTTGTTAATATTATTAATCTTAGCTCATGCTCCTGCTGGTCTTGAACTCACTACATATCCCAGGCTGGTCTTGAACTCATGGCAATTCTCCTCCCTCAGCCTCCTGCTGGGATGACAGGCATGTGCCACCAGGCCCTGCTTGCAGTTCTTATTATTGCAGTTAATTCAAAATCTGATTTTAAAGTCATATGTTTATATAAAGTCAGATTCTTTCTATTTTCTATTTTTGGATTAAGGGTAGGACTTCTTATTTATTTGGTGAGTTTATTTTAATTTTCAGCCCATGCTTCTAACATTTCTGATATCTTTTAACATTTTGATTTGTTGCTGGCATTTCAAGGATCCTTGCCAGTTGCAGGTCCTGTGTAAATCTGACAGGCTCCTGAGGGAAATGAGCTAAGATGCCAGCTCACCAGAGACAGAAATTGTTGCTGAGTTTGGCTTAGCAGCCCTAACAGTCTCAACAACTATACACAAACTTTTAAAAGAAAACAAGAAAACAAGGGGTACAGATTATTTGTATGAATTCTCCGAGAATAATGATTTAAGCCCCAAATAACATGCAAAGATTGTGCTGTTCACACAGTTTTGTTTCTTAGTCCCAGCAAAATGGTATCCGCTAAGAACAGTAACCCCGGTGCCTCTGAGCCTTCCTCTGAGACAGGTCTTGGGGCCACCTGGCAAAGTGTATTTCTACAGGATGTGGTAAAGAGAGACACAGAGATGAGGGGTGGGGACAGGAGCCCTCTCCTGCTATCACTGTGTGGACTAAACTGACTCTCCGTTTTGTTCGAGCATCAAAAACCTACATGTCTATAAATGTCTCCTATTTGCATACCTTCTTCCTGGTTCATGATGTAAGCCAGAGGGTGTGGTGAGCAACAAAGCTGAGCTTTTCATACAGCAGACAACGCAAGTAGCACTAGAGGATCAGTTTGGATTGGGGACCAAAAGAAGTGCAGACTTCTGTAGACTCTTTCAGTGCTCACCCACGTTGTTTAAAATAAATGTCTTTTTCTGTCCCAATAAATCATGAACTTAATTTAGTTTTACCTGTGCAGTCTTTTCTTGCAAGTCTATAAACCTCGAATCTACCTTGAAATTAGCTGCATGTCTTCTGCATTTTCATCTAAGTCGTCAATTAAAGCCAAGGATTTGAATGGGCTGCCAATGAGCCCCTTGCGTAATACCAGAGGCCTGCTTTCTCCAGGTGGAGTGACCCATTAATTGTTCTTCTAGACACTGTCACAACACTACCTAAAATTTGCCTAATTGTATGGTGACCCAGTTTACATTCGTCCAATATATGTACAGCTTGAGCCTTTATCAATGTCATATTGAAATTAAGGTTAATTTTTTAATTCAGTGATATTTTTGTGAACAGTGGTCTGGTGACCTTATTAAAAAGGGAAATTAGCTGGCTTAATTCTTTTATTAAAAAGGTTGAATTTAAATAAATGAATAAGGAAATCAGTACAGAAATCCTTATTCTGAACATGTTGAAATATTTGGGATTATCACTATATTTTGTCTACAAAGAAAATCTTTTTATCATAAAACCTACATCAAGGTCATATTCTAGATTCTAAGAATCCATATTCTTTTTTAATAAAAAAAGTTCAGCACTTCTCTGTCACTTTTCATTTGCAATTACTTCTTCATTGTACTTCAAAAATGGCTGTTTCTTTTAAAAAAATTATATTACTGGGTTATAATTCTTTAAAAATTAGACTCATTTAAATGATTCCTTAGATTTGTTTTATACTAATATATAGTGGGAGTTAGGAATAAATGATTAATGAGGGATATAAATATTATTTTCTTTCCATCTGTGTATATTTGAAATGTTTTATAATATTTTTTTTTTTTTGGTTTTTTGAGACAGGGTCTCGCTATGTAGTTCAGGCTGGTCTTGAACTCACTATGTAGCCCACATCCTCAAACTCACAGCAGTCCTCCTGCCTCAGGATTCTGAGTACTGGGATCACAGGGATGCGCTACTGCGACCAGCCTCATAATAAACATTTTAAAGTAGATTTATTGAAGGAAATTTTGATTTTCTTCTACCATCTTGTCAAACCTGTCTTACTCCTTTTGTGGTTGGAAGAAGGTGATACAGAAAAGCAAAGATGAAGACAAGAAATTATGTTTATTAATCTGTTGTACATCCTGTTTTCTTTCTTTATCCCACTTTCTCTCCCTCTTCTTTTTCCTTTTCTCTCTCTCTTCTCTCTCTCTTATTTCCTTATTTTCATATTCCTAGCTCTTCTCCATCCATTCATAAAACCAACAATCTAACAACCAACCACACAACAAAGCAGGTTTACCTAAATTTTGACACCAGCTTCTCTGAATATTTTCATACAATTTATGTATGTTTTACTTTCTATGTTCTGATAGGCTATTACAAAATCTATACAGTCATTTAGATTCTTAACTATCTCATTTGGTTTAAAAATTCAGTTATTTACAAAATGAAGTATACTGTCTGAACTCTTTGGCATGCTTGATGGTTGACTGAATGCACGTGTATATGTGTGTGTGTGTGTGTGTGTGTGTGTGTGTGTGTGTGAGAGAGAGAGAGAGAGAGAGAGAGAAAAGGATGTGGAATGGCGATCAAGGATAATACTCAGATTTCTACCTGAGTGAGTGAGTGGTATTTAATGTCCTTCACTGAGCTAAGGTACAAACAGGGAGGAGTAGTATGCAGTTCAGTAAGGATGAGTTGGGGTATACAGCACTTGAGTTGCTTGTGGGATGTCTAAGTGGAGATGTCCAATGGGCAGTCTGACATATGGATGTGGAGCTCTTGACTAGAGCTGTCATACAGTCCAAGAATTAGCCACAAACATTTAAAATGTAGCTAATAAAAATAAATTTTAAAAAATACAAAAGTTATAAAAAGTGGAGCAATATGTCTTGATTGGATCAAGACTAGGAATATTTTTCTAAGAGGAGACTTTGTGCTTAAGTACATATGGTGGGTGACAAAATGAGACACCAAATTGGAAATAAGAACTTCCTTCCCTCTTTGAACAATGCCCAGCTTTTTTATAATTGTTCGAAGACTGTAGCTTTGGAAACACTATAGGACAGTAGCCTTGGTGGAGACATTAACTTTTGGGGGTGGGCACTATTAGTGGAGTTAAAGATAAGCCCATCTAAAGGTGCTTCAGCAATAGCACAGCAAGAAGCGAAGTTGGAAGGGATGCTGAATCTCCATGCTGACTATTCTGGGAGAGTTCACAAGAATACAGGAGGTAGTTGTGAGGGCTCTGAACACTTGAGGGCCATAACAACAAGGGTAAACACATTAGGGAGGTAGAAAAATTGTGGATGAAAACAACTTGTGAAGAAAAAAACACCCCGATTTCAGTCTCTGGCAGGTACTGAGACAGAAACCAAGAAGAAGAAAGGTCAGAAAAAGCAAGAGACCAGGTGGGGCTAGAGTCAGAAGAGAGAATTTCCAGAATGGTGATCTATGGTGTTAACGTCTTAAAGAGACTGAGGAATATAAGACATGAAAAAGGAAGTGAAAACAGTCACAGTATTCACCATGGCCTATGGTGGTGGGATCACTTATGTAATTTTTCTGAATTTTTGAAATCACTGTTCCTAAATTTAAGATGTACATTGAAAGATCCCTCCTTTCCTTTCTAAGCATGCCCATGCTCACTATAGCCAGCATTTTGAAGAGACTTGTTTGCCCTCAAACAACTCAGCAGTATTTCTTGGGGGTCCATTTGTGTCTCCCTATGATTTCTGGTCCCTACTTTACTTAGAAGTCAGTGATATTTTTTCTTCTTTTTCTTGTTAGGCATTCTCCACTTCTCAAATGGTATTTCCAGTGGCTTCGCTCCTATTAAAACCCAACCATCCTGGGCTCCATATGCGTTTTAAACATTAATTCAGCATCTAAAGCAAATGTAGTTGAACGTTCTTGTCCTCAGTCTGTCCCTAAAAAGAAGTCAGCAACAATGAATAACATAGATTTGATCATAGTTAACTGTCATTCAAGGAAGAGGAACTGTCATGGGAAGCAGCAGAAATGGAGGGGAGTTTAAGTCCAAGGCAAACAATGTATTCTGCCAGAAGCCAGTGTGATAAGCCTATTTGGGCTGATAAACTTACCTGATGGCTGAAAAGCCCAAGATGAGAATGCTATTTACATTGAATTAAGAGTTTTTGCTGCTTTAATTCAAGGTGCTAAGTAAACTGATAATTAGGGCATTATAACAAGGAGAATTTTCATCTAAGAGCAAGTTGCCCAGGATTTTCTAAATCAAAGTAGTTTTTCATGGAAGGTTAATCTCTGCTCTGCTTATATAAGATTCTATGCCATTAATCGCATCTCTTTGCTGTTTCCTCCTACTTCTGCTGCTTGTGTTCATGAGCTGAGGATAAATGTTTGAAGCACATGTGCTGCAGTTTCCTGGATTTACCAAATCTTATCAGTTATTCTCCTCATTCACTGTTTCCACTTCTTTGGCTTTTGTAAGACCAAGACCAGTCTTAATCTTCCCCTCTACCTGCTTAACTTTAAACGGGGTTCTTTCCTCTAGGGCTCTGAACTCCCTTTCCTTACATATTTGATTTTAGAAAAGTTTCCATTGTAAATCCTTCCTCTGCTCATTTGTGAAGTTAACATCCCAGTCCTACAGCCAGTTTTATAACCCAGGAAGGTCTTCGATTAAAGGAGATAGTGCCCTAATCTCTCAGTCTGGGTGGGAGAAGAACCTAAGTTTTTAATTGCATAATTAGCAAATGTGGATGGCCTAATCATGTTGACTAACCTCTTGCTAATGTCATACATTAATTTTTTACTTGCTCACCCAGAATTTAAAAATCCTCCTGCCTTTGTGTCAGTGGAGTTGAGGTTAATCTTTCTTCTGCAATAGTCCTGAATAGTCTTCTTTGCCTGTTTATCTGGTGTGATCTTTTCATTCATATCTATAATACCCACAAAATCTCCTTTTGCTATTTAAAAAAATATTTCTAGGTGAAATTTAGCTGATCAAATTTACAAGTTCCTATCCCCCCCCCCCCCATGGAGACATCACAGATTCCTGGAAGAAGCGACTTTCTGAGTTTTCATGTTTGTCTGACAATATTATTTTCTTTTCTTTCTTGGGCATCCTATGGATACAGCTGGGGGGGTCACACGTTTTTCAACCGTTAAACACATTTTCAATGAGATTATCTTTCCCTTTTGTATAACAGTCTACCTGTAAAAATCAATTCTTCCCTTTGAATGTAGTCAATTACTTTATCCAGCTGAATCCTACTTATTGAGGATGTATCACAGTGGTGATCTAAACATGTTCAAACTAAGGGATTATTAAAGTCAGACATGTTTAATTGTCTTTGACTGATATCTGAATCCCAGCACAGGGAAAAATGATGCCTATTTATTTGATTTACTTATCTATTCTGATTATTAATTAAGAGAACCTATAAAACAAAGCCTTGTACCTGAGACTTTGGCTGGCAGTAACTAGACTCCTTGTTCTATTAGATTTGTGTCTACAAAAAGTTCCCAAACCCTGGTTATGTTGTGCCAGAAGTAAAGATTAGGGTAGCAAACATACTCTAGGACATTGAAAGGTCTTGACTGAAACTCTCACACTTTACACTCATATTTTAAAGTGGAAAAAGCAAGAAGCATGATTAAGATTTCTGGCATCAATTTAATTTTCTTTCGTTTTTGTTAATTCTAACACTCTTTTGATGCTACCAGATTATTGGGAAATGATAAAAGAAAATATGAATCTTGTTATCTGACACTTTGCTTTATCTGCTCTGACCTGCATTCTTGCCAATAGCTTCCAATCTTCAGCAGAAACCTAATTTTTTCTATAGCCTTCTCAGGGAAAGAGCCGTATAACTCTCTCCTGCTCATGCTCACTCCTTATATAGGAAGGAGAGATAAAAAATAAATAAACAAACAATAAGGGAATCATATTATTTCTTTATAATATTTAATTTGAGATGTGTTTTCCCCCAAGTGTCTAGTTCTTCTTTAGGAATAAGAAAAATAGTTCATTAGGGAGACACTATCAGCCAACACTTACACAGCAACTCTGCCTTTACATAAGCAAATAGGCTTCACTGGGCTCAGTAAATATAACCTTTGTTTGTTTTCCTTTGTATAACAGGTAACCTCCAAGCTCCTTTTATCTTTTGTTTTCCATTATACTTAAAAAACTGTTTGTAGGACAAATTCTCACTCTCCGCATGACATCCAAATGACAGCTTAGAGTTTAGTTGGGTATTCACACCTAACTCTTTTTTGTTATGAAGGTATGATATCATTTTTGCAGGGAAGACATTAAATGATTCATTTCACAAATTTTGTTTAGTGTCTACAATAGGCCAGCCACTGTGATGGTGCTGGAAGATGAACACAGACTTTAAAGTTAGTGGATTGTATTAACATCAACAGTGTTTATCATGTGTGTGTATGTGTGTGAATACACAAGTTTGTAAACTTTTTTGACATATAACCTACAGTCTAGTAATAAATTATAATGACTCACTGACTACTTTAACTCTTGCCTGGTAGGATGCCAAAATGGCTAGATGTATGCTCTATGTAAGGAATTTTGAACCTTAAAGGAGAGTATAAATGTTACAAGTATTAAGTGGTTATTTCTAGTCTTTCCATGAATATTCAATGAAAACAGTAGGAAGTTCCTTAAAAGTTCCATACTTACTCATCTCTGCAAACAGCTGTCTTCTTTCTGCCATGGTATTTCCTCTTTTCCCACTATCTTCAATCATTCTATGAGACAAAATTATGACAATGTGCATTATCCTCATGCTAATGAGGCAAACAGCCATTGTTTTATGTAAACACATTTGTTGCATTTGCACCCAAAACATAAAGAAAAGCTATTTTAAAACTGTGTACTTAAAAAGTACAGCTTTATTTTCACGAATCTAAATTGCCATACACATTTTTCATATGTTACGCTGGTATCATTGTTGAAGGAGGTATAAAATGTTTATTTTCTAACATAAAAATTACTGTAATAGGTGACTTTATGCTATAACTAAGTACAACCATCTGCCATCTGTTAGGTGATTCATTTCCTATACAGTATCTCTTTCAATTTTGAGAATAACTATAAAGACTACAGACCAAATTTTATGGGTTACATTCAACAGACATACGAGGGAGAGTGCCGTTGACTTCTGGCTGACAAGCATGGACCTCTGGGCTCTAGGACCATTATCCCCTTCCCTCATTCTTCTGTCAGTTCTCCCTTGTGCACTCAGAACCTCAATTTAGAAACAAGTGATTTTTCAATGTTCATGTCTAACTTGAGTGTTTTCTGACACTTTTGACAGTTTTTCTGCACATAATAATTTCACGCATGATGGTTGGGTTCACATCTCTCTATTTAACTATACCGTTATCTGCTGTGGAGCTACTGAAGAATACTATTAAAATGCCAAAAGTTAAAACAGAATTTGAAAAATATAAAAAATTAAAATTTAGCTGGAGGACAAATCAAATAATGAGAAAGCTAATGGAAATGTTGTTTAGTCATGTAAAAGGCCTTGGGCTACAAATATCAAGGGTTTTATGGGTTGCTAGACTTGATTTTTATTATATCTAATTAAAAATTTAAAAACTAAGGTCTTCCCTCTCATGCATGCGTATACATAAACACACATCTGTATACCACTGTGGCTTCTATTTGACTCTTAGGCATGAAGGGCAGAAAGCATTACTGGATGGATCTTTATTGCCTATATTCAAGTGTATGTGGCTCTTTTTCAAATCTTGGTCTTTATCCATACTGTTTTTGTGATTGGACAATCTATATCTAGTTAACTTGAAGTAACCCCTCAAGTCTCAGAGTAGCTGTGTCTTCTTCTGGAATCTTCCCCAACCCTATGACTGCCTGTGTTTGGTGCCTTTCTTCTGACCCTCCTTAGAGCACATAAGGTTGTCCTCTGGGTGCAGAGTGTTCACTCCCTAGTTCTCTGTTCAGTGCCTTCTATACTCCAGGAACCACACCAAGATTTGAATGTGTACCATGTGTATCAAGTCACAAGTTCTGTCCCCAAGGCTCTTACACTATAGCAGAAGAGACTGGAGAACATAGAAGCAGAGAAAAGAAGAAGTTAATTACAGCCACAGAAATGGAAAGAAAGATGTGACCATGAGAGAGGTTGATTCTCTGGGACAGATTTAACAGAATTACTAGTAGAAGTCTGTTCAAAAGGTAATGGACTGTTCATAAATTGACTTATGTGAGGAGAAAACAACTAGCAGTAAAAATGATACTGGTCAAATTAAATAGCCTCACTTGTTGTTTTTATGACTGAAGGATATTTGCACATTTCCAAGAAGGGAAAGAAGACCCTGAACAGCCTTGGTTTATAGAGTCAAGGAAAGAGTGTACACACATTCACAATGGGTTGAATGATACAGCCGGAGGTTGGCCTCTACATCAGTTGGAAAGGAGTTATTAATGAGTCTTCAATTTGGTAACAATTCACTGCTGAACATTATCAAATCCTCTTATACAATCTTAAACGTGTGGGTATTGTTGACATATAGGAGATGTGGAGAACATGTCTCCTTCCTGATTTACATCACTCCTTCTCCTTCATTCTAGAGGAAGCAGGTAGATAATCACCTGACATGCACAAAAGAGTCTGGATCTAACTTAGTTTTTATTTCAAGGGCTCAGAAGTAGAATGAAAGCAGTCAAAGAGATAGGAGATAGAAGCAGTGATGTGTTCTTGGGTCTGTTTATATGCTGTAATGAGATGAAAACAACTACTACACATTCTCAAATAAAAGATTCAATAAAGGCAACAATTGAAATGAATAGATACTTCTCAAAAGAAGAAGTACATGTGAGCAATAAATGCATGAAAAAATTTTCAGCATTTTTGATCACTGGAGAAATGCAAATCAAAACATTGAAATTCCATCTTTCTCCAGAAATAATTGCTATCATCTATAATTCAAGAAACAAAAAAGGTTGTGGGGAAAAAAGGAATCCTTCTACATTATCACTGGGAATGTAGACTAGTACAATCACCGTGGAAATCAGCATGGAGAATCCCCAAAAAACTAAAAAATAAAAATTCCATTTCACCGACTATATCTCTTCTGTATCTTCTGAGTTAAAGACATCATATTATAGGACTACATATATACCCATGCTTATAGCAACACACCTCATAATAGCTAAATCTTAGAAATAGCCTATATGTCCATCAATAGATGAATAGATAAAGAAAATGTGGGATAATATACATAGTGGAGTATTACTCAGCCAAAAAGAAGGATAAATTTGAGTCATTTATAAGAAAATGGATATATCTTGAGATGATAATGTTAAGTGAAATAAATCAGACATAGAAGGTTAAACAGTACAAGGTATCTCTTACATGAGAAACATCCAATATAAATAATTTAAAGGGCAAAATAAAAGGGAAATGATAGGAAACAGCAATGTAGACTTTGTGGAGGTGGGAAAGGGGTTTAGGGATGGGGAAAGAGTAGGGCCAGGAGGCAAAGGGGAAATAAAATTAAGATGTGACATGCATATGTACCCATTCCCCAAGATGAATGTAATTATTATATATCACAAATATATAAATATCAATAAAAAATTGGGATACTCCTCAAAGAAAACAACAATTAAAAATAAATCACAAAGGATGGCAGGTTGCAGACCTGATGGGGAATGTCAGGAGGTAAAGACTAGTTCTGAGCTCAGAGCACTCGCTGCCTGAACCTCTGACTCATATTGCTGCGACATCTCGTTTCCCAGGTAATTCTGTGCGTGTTTCTATAAAGAGTTGAGGTCAGTGCCCTCATTAATTTTAAATGCTTCGCAATGCCTAGCATAATCCAGTCAACAACTGAGATGGGCAGTGAGTATTCACTGAATAAAGAAGGGCGTGAAAGGAGAGAGAGGGGAGGAAGGGAGGGGAATGAGAGAAAAACTAAAGTTAAGTATTCTTTTCACTAAATGGACTTCCTATTATATTTCCAGAATTCACTCATAGAAAAGTGAAATTTATATTGACTCATATTGTACTTAGCTTCAGAGAGTCATTATTTGAGGTGAGAGAAATGAATTTATATTTATTATAATGTAGAACTATACATTTTAAAGCAAAATCATGTCTCATGAAATAGAAGTAGAAAAAGATGCAAACTATATGTCGACTTTTGGTCTATTCATTACCATTTTTTGGTTAATTAACTCATAAAGGAGCCATCATTAGTTACACAATAGATATTAATTCTTGCTTCTAAGTAAAATGTGTACCTTAAGAGGGAAAAAAGGAAGAACTCAGTGGCATGAAATAATAGAAGGCACAAAATTTAATTATAAATATAAGAGGAAAAATAATACACTGCTCATTTTATCCCCAGGTATTGCTGGCAAGTGGCACTGTTAGACAAAATTGACAATACTCATTTGTTACTTATAATCATATTCACCATAATAAAAGGGGGGGGGACATCCTACCTTACAGTTTAAACTAATTGAGTAGAACTCTTGAACAAAGTGAGCTCAAGAATCAAACATCACTGTGGGAGCATCACTGTGGACTCCTGTTTTCAATCTAACTCTGATCAGTGGCGTGGAGACAATTCTTGACCACATTCTCCTTGAATAGAAAGAGAGAAGAGCACAACCTTCAGTAGAGGAAGAGGTGAAGACACAAACCTTGCCCTAGGAGAGGAAACAAACTTTCCTAATAAATATTTATAGCTTGGTGTAATATGCACCACAATGAAAGCATTACTGCTGGACAGAGAAGTTTATATCTGGGAGATCTGACAGAGACATTAAAGAAAGGGTGATTGCTGAAAGGATGAATAGGGATTTTTCAGATGGAGCAGAGTGGAGGAAGGGCAAGTATGGTTAGCTGGAATCATGAGAAAAATCATGGAGCTTTGAAAAGGGACACAGGGGCCACTCAGCAATGCTGCAAACTGAGTGAAGATGCTGCAGAGGTGAAGAGGGATCACATCTAGAAAGTCTCACTTGTCATGTGCAGATAATATAAGGCTTTTGAATAGAAACGAGACTGGGTACCATCTGAGATTGAAACTAGAAGAAGATGCATAAAGGTTTAGTTTGGAAAAATTACTGCAGCATACTGAGTGGGAGGTGGACTGTGTAGGCAGCTAGGCAGGGATAAGAGCACATAACTAACTTCTGTGACTGATGGGCGAGACTACTGTATTTTGTGCTAAGTGATTGATTTGAGAGGGATTTCAGAGAAACGTCCAACAGGACTTGATGACTGCCGGGTCATGCGGAGAATGGCAGAGGAGAAACCTCAGCTCTCACTCTTCCACGTGAGGGATTTTAGGCCGACAGGCAATAGTGACTTTGCAAGAGATGATTTCACAGTGCCTTCTTCCAGCAAAGTCACCAAAAGAGGGCTGCCTAACTTGCCAAGGATTCTGGCTCTGTCCTTATGCATGGGGAGGGATGAAATAGAGTAAAGTAGTTTGGAAACCAGTAAGGAATAAAGGATAAATCCAAATAGAAGATATAGAGCATTAGAAAAACTGTAAATTTCATTTTGGTGTACTTGAGAATAAGTTCATGCTAAAATATCATCTTCAAATTACTTCCTGTGTGACACACCTTTCATTCAACCCCATACACATCTTTATTACACATGGTACATAAGAAGTTTTAGAGGTAGAAGCTTAAACTAATGGTGTCGTACATTTGCATAAGTTTCTGAAAATTGAAAAATGCTTCTCCTTGCAACCTTGACAGG